TTCTAATGGAATTCCGAAGGAAAATCTTATGACATTATTACAAAATAATGATTATCAATGTCAATCAAATTGAGTTGTTATTTGACAGATCTATGACATTTTTGGTTTCTTGAAATTTCTATTTATATCTTGACAATGCAAAAATATTAGTCAAACGTTGAGTCATTAGATCGCTGACCCAATCGTGATGAATTTTAGCGAATGATCACATAACGAAGAAACATTCTTGTCCTTCAGCATGAAAGGCTTTTGAGTCATTTTCGGCGAAGCCTTGAGATTCAAACACTGGCAGTAGGAAGTGTTTTCCAGTTGAGCACAAACATGGCAATCACGCGCTGATTTGCGCTCTGAAGCACTAATCACGAGTCGATGGATGCAGTTTAAATCAAAAGTATAATGCCAGATTTGTCAAATATAATCATCCCACCCACTTTATCAAATGCCTGAGACACAAACAGCCTTCAATTGATGGCAATAATTGCCTGCAAATGATCCTAAATCATCCCTCGTCTTGCCCACAACTTTTATTGCCGTCAATCTTATCCCACGGAATTGCTTGTGGTTGGGCGGAATTCAATCACCTCGTCATTTTCTCGGAAATCACTTAATTTTAATCGATCAACACTTTATCACACAGACATTTCTCCATCGTGACTCAATGTTGGCGTATTTCACGCATTAAGCACAATTTTATTAATCAAATAGAGACAAATTCTTGTCATTTTCAATGAGAATTAATAATTTTACACTCAATTGAACCCGTGAAGGCAACGCTCTTGTGACTATCAACACACATGAGGAAGTGACTATCCAGAGGGGAAATTATTCTCTCCTTTAATGTGCCGAAGATCCTTGTTTACATTGCGGTTTAGATCAGTTGACAAAAATACTTTCTGGCGGGAATAGAGAAAAAAAAGGTGATCCAACTTCTGACACAAAACAACATAATGTTTGTATTGTATTATCAACCACAGACATTCGATGCGAAATGTATTGTGTTGACCTCCGTGCCAATGTGCGTGATCACCTTCAAAATTAATTGCCGCAAATGCGGATTTGATCTTCACTGCAAGTACAGAATTATACTCATGTGTGACATCTTATTGACAGTGTTATTTCCTGATACATTTTTTATCGGGATGAACACAAAAAAATCAAGTGTGGATGATAAAGGGCGATGCCTTGATAATTTATGAGTGTGCTGGATAAATAAATAAATGTTCTATTTGTTTCTCTTTCTTATGAGGAAACACTCTAATGTTTATTCACAGTTTATTATTCAGATTAGGCAGAAGAATATGACAAAGTCTGCAATTTTTGCTACTTCTTCAGATTTCGGCACGCCAAAAATCCTTGTAAATCTTCCTTGACTTCCTTGAATTCATCCCGAGAAACATCCTAGAAAGAATCTACATTTCTAACTAACACTTTGACTTTGGATACGATCTGAAACCGACGACTTCAGCCTCGTGATGAGGTTCTAAAAGCTACGCCGATCATGAACAGATCTTGTGAACTTCTCAATTGGGAAGCCATTGGAGGAATTTTGGCGGGCGCAAAGAGTCGAAATGAATATTGAAAGAGCATACACACTTCGCTAAAATATCAAAACCTTAACCTTAGATCACGTTCAAGATTAAATTTGGCCTCAGTTAAGTTTAAAGAGTGAGGAAGGTCATTTGGCATAGTTTTGCCGTTTTCAATAGTTTTCCTCTATCGCCGTGCGCGTGTGTGCGCGCGTATATAATTCTCGCATTTTAATTATGTTTATATGAGATAGAAAAAGCTCACCAAGAAATACTATTTTCACGCATACAACCGTTCGGCGCCCAGAAGGTGTGTAAACACGCAGAATGAGAGACAGACATTGAGAGGCATGAAAAAAAGTGTAGCAAAATTGCGAAAAGCCCTCAGAAGAGCGGATGAAAAATACAATATTTCTATTTATGGATATCGAAACTTCTCGCTGTAACTTCCATTCAATGGACCACGTGACGTCAGGCGCGATAAGCTCGATTGCCTCCAGTTGGTGCACAGATCAAAACGAAATTTCAATGACCATCAAAATGCTGATTGGAAGTTCTGGATGGGAAAACAACATAGCAAATAGAGTCACAACATGGCTTTTTTTTCTCTCCCCTCGTCGCCGCGGCTGATCTTGAAAATTGTTACAAGAGTGCGATGTAAATCGATAGTCTTGTGTGACGCCACTGGGTTCAAAACTTACGGCTCTTGCCTGCAAATAGCATGATCAATTTCATAGCTTCGCACGCCGCGAGTCTCTCTCTCATCCTTGGACAAATATTTCCTGATTCAACCATACCCATGACTCTACTGTACATTTTCATACATCGACACGAAAGCCACACTATATGCAGAGTGTGCGACCGAGACGGAAAGTAATCTCTAATGTATTTTCACGGCTAAACGACGTAATACACAATTGCTGTTTTGCCACAAGTCGTGTAGTAAACAAAAATGATTATTGCTTGTATTTTTTTTTATACTTCAACCGTCCATCTCACTCGCTCACAATATATGCATAGAAGGCGCAAGTTTGCAAATTATCTCTCAAATTCACCGATCCACCAGATTAACCTTTGATTTAGTGGTTAGAATTTTTGCATAATTGAGATGGCGTGAAAGGAATCGAGTCGGTACAATCGCACCGTGGAGGACGCGTCGAAAGCGCACGCTCTGTATGATCAACCACTTCATTGTGATCGATTTCATAACATGTGTCAGACGACACATCACCAGCCAAAGCAATTGAAGGAGCGCTTTGAGCTTCGAGCTTTGGGAATTAGTGGGGAATGAAAGGAGTTTTTCTGCTGTTTTAAAAAATTATCCACGAATTTATGCAAGAGATTAAATAGGGTTTAAAAAGAATCTTTAAAAGAAATGCCTTTAATTTCTTTAAACAAGGGGATGTATGGTCAGAAGTCGTGTACAACTTGAGAGGAAGTGTTTAGAAGTGGAAGTGGCAAAATATATTAGAATATTTGCACTGCAAAAGCTTCAATTTCAACAAATTGAGACATAAAAAGATTTTTACTAGAAAAATCAATTTGATCGCTTTATTTTTAGGTTATGTTATAAAATAACCCTCAAAATCATTTAATTTGTGTTTAAACTATGAATTTTTCTCTTTTATTCGCCTCAAAATTATCTCTACATTCACTGCCTTGCTTTTCACATAAACTTTTGTGTGGCAAAAAAAAGTTGAAAATAAAAATATCTTGTATTCAAAAATTGCAAATCAAGAAACTTGTCATGAAAGCTCGGAAATCGTTAGGCTTTTTAACCTAAACATCTGTATATATTTTACATCATAATTACAAGTTTTTTTTCTTTCTCAAATTCATAATGGCGCGTGTTAATAAAATCCACAATAGCTTCGCGCTGCATACAATAGTGAAGCCTTGAGTGAAACACTTCCTCTTCTTTATTCATTCGAAGCAACAACCTTCTTTTTGGCATCACTTTTATTTTCATCTCTAACGAACTCTCTCTGATTGATCTTTCAGTCTGGAATTTTTACGTAAAAAAACCACGGCACGAGTCATCGTTTCGCATTGGTTATTTTGGCTCCATTGATTAGGCCGAAATTGCTAATTTAGGCAAATTGTCTTCTCGCCAGACTTGAGCTTTTGTTCTGCCTTTTCTGTTTTGCCATGATCGTGAAATTCCCCTTAAAAAATTATTATTATTATATGAATAATTTACGAATTTTTGCTACAAATTTCACTTTTATTTCATCTCTCCGCGCTGAAGAAGTGTGTGGACTTGAGCGTTGGACGTTTTGTTGACTCGGCCAGTCAATCATCGCGGCAAAATTGCCCGTGTTCGCGCGCGATGGGGTTGTGAATGTAAATTTCCTTGTCGCACAAATCTTCGCGGCAATTGTTGCACTATATATCGACGGGTGAATGGAAAACTATGAAAAGTCGACTTATCATAGTTTTCGTCTTATGTATTTTTGAAAAGTCTTTTATTTGTTCTTTCTGTACAAGAATTTTAAGATTTTTTATCTTATGAGACAATAGAAAAAAATCTTATTTATCTAAAAAGCACAAATGGAGAAAAAAATTGTCATGTTTTGCGAATGAAAAGTCGAATTTTCATTTATTTACGCTGTGCAATTTTTCCAAGAAAAATGTCTCAAAAATTGCAGTCAAATGCATAAAAACGTCTTTTTAGAAAATATTTGTAGATTTTCAGAATTATCCTAAAATGTTTTTTTTTGGACTTTAAATGAATATTTCTCATATCTTTTAAATTTTTTCACTTGAAAACATTAAGAAAAAGTTCAAGTCAAGTATGAAAAGTTGATTTTTTTTGTATAAAATCGACTTTGAAAAGTAATATTTTCAGATTTTCTATTAATTTTGCCACATTTTAGTGAAAAATTTCAATAAATACCAATAAAACATTTACAAAATAAAAAATACAGAGCAATATTTTCACTTTAACGAACGATTTGAAGGCATTTTGAGTATTTTGAAGTAAATTTGGCAAATTTCGCAGCTGTTTTAATGCAAAATTTTGAACTCGCTTTGCTGAGAAATGGCGATTTTGACTTTTTATAGTTTTCGAGGCACCCGTCGATATATATTTTCACTCGGACGATGGATTAGAGGCTCTCCAACGTGCGGTGCAACAATATAAAGTGATCGGAGATAAATTGAGGCGCGCAATTTCGAGTGGGGAGAGAAATGCGAAAAGCTGCAGAAGAGAACTTTCACGTAATAAAAGCAAACAACAAATAGCATGAACAATTTGTTTGACACCCAACATTTAAATATTAACTATTTGCATTTTCACTTGTTTCAAGTTTTTACCGTTACTCGATAACCTCCTGCAGCATCGCAAGATTTGTCCACGAGTGTGACAAGAAGCACGGCTATCAGATTAAGTGCTAACGTGGGAAGCTCTAATGTGCATTAAGACGATATCTGATAGTTCACTAATAAGAGCTCCTCCTCTTTTCTCTCTTGCAGATGTGCGACTTGAGTGCCTTCTGAGAAATGCCCGCTTGAGCTTTCCACTGATCCTCGACACTGCAAGAGGACAGGAAAGCTCTTTCTCTCTCTCTCTCTCTCCCAAGACAAGCGATCTCCGAGTGACGATGAAGGTAATACAGGTAATGAGATGCTCCCAAAGCATACAATATGGTGCCGCGTTTTCCCCCAAAAATCCACACAAAAATCACACCAAATCCAACATGAAAATGCAAACACCTTTTTCTCATCTCTTTTGTTTTCATATTCCATTCAGCTGAGAGGCAAAGAGAAGTGCCTGCAATGTGTGTGGTTTGTTTGCGAAGAAATTGCAACAATTGGTAGAAATGTTTCACACGAATAACATTTTAAGTAATTACATTGGAGTGTGTGTTTTCAAACAAACAGACCAACTGCCACATTAACAGGGTGTTTCGCATCACTTTCTTTCACTTCAAATCTGTTTGCTTAATCCAATTTAATGTATTCCATCGTGTTTCTCCCTATCAGAACTATTTAATTGGATTTTGCGCGAATGTGGAAGCAATAAAGGGTTGAAATGAGCCTGAAAAGTTGGGAAATATGACAAAACATATAAGTTGTTGGACAAAAATAAGTGTCATAAGACAGCAAAGAGTAGAGACTCATCACGGATAACTAATAATTCAGAAGACTAACTTCCCAGCGCAGCATTGGGGCGCCCTGTGTTGGAATTAAGTGGTGCATAGTACAAGTTTAACGTACTTTCATACATAATAAATAATTTTCCACCACTTTTTTTCCCCCCTATGAAATCAATATGTGCGCGAGACGGCGAAGTGAAGGAAAAAATAGGAAGTAATTAAAATAGAGCTGAATAGAGGAAAATCAAGGTAATTACTTGTACTTACAAGTGAGTTGAGCTCGAAAGCGAAATCGCAAAACTATCAAAGCGTGCAGAATTTCCCTCTTCGCGCTCGTCGGCCGAAGATGGCCAGATGATGATGATGATGTTTTCCCAGGCGAGCGACTTTTGATTTCGTGCACAATTACTGAACGGCGCGCGGCCTCTTCCTTGGCTCACGAGATGGGCGCGCATGATTCTGCGGACGCCGCGATGGAGACAATGCCATTGTTCCCTTCCGCCGCGCGAGAGTGCAATGATCTGTCAGCTGCAGTCGAGGTGCTAATCTGGCTTCCTCGTCGGCCGCGGCGGCCACTTTCACTGGCGCGCCGCGGGTGAAAGTTGTCTATTCCAGTGTCATGTCGGAGCGCCGGTTAGACGCTTGAGAATGTTGCGCGATGGCAGCGATTGAAAGCGTTCGTTGGCACGATGACGCGAGATGCACATTTTCCTCCTCGCGGGCTCCGCGGGTCGCCAAATTGTGTGGCCCCTTTGACTTTTGGGTGCGTTTTCGCGCCATAACTTACAAATTCAGCAGATTGCGATGCGCACACAAATCGCCTTAGCCATACTAAATAGCCAAATTTCGAAGCAGCGTGTGCGCCTCCATTTGAATAAATCACATCACTTATATGTCCATAACGCGGCGCTGACCGAGAGGAATTAGCTGAACAAATTGCTGTTTGAAGTTCGCTTTTCTGCCAATTATGAGATTTGCTTTTCCGAGCCATTTACTCCTCTTATCCTTTAGACAGAAATCAAATAGCGATTTTATTCAGATTCTTTCTCATGCCAAAATATGTTTTCTTCAAAGAAACACCCGCAATAGTAAAAGTAACTCCCCTGGAAATTCCACATCTCTTGGCCATAAATCAATCACGATGGGTCAATGTGGCGTGTCACTAATGCGATTTGCTCACCACGAAGTAAAATATTTGGAATTCGACGCCGACATTCCACATTTTTCCTATTGATTGATTTCACCGTCACTTCCGGCAGCGCTATGCCCAACTCCTTGAGGCGCTCGCTGCAATCCTCGCCTGGGTTATCTGAAATGCCACTAAATAGTCACAAGATCTTCGCTTTGGAAAGAATTTTCTCACCAAAAACACCGCCTTTTCCCGTGTAATTGTATTTTCTTCGCTTGTAGAATTCTTCAACGTCTGTGAGAACAATATTCCAGTGTTTGTCGAACATCTCAATGACTCCCGTCACATATCCTCGAATTCCGTGATTGTGACGAATATAAATCTACATGAAACAAGGCATGAAAGAATTATTATGAGTATTTCTCTCTTCGTCGCAGACTGAAGTAACGAACCTTAACTCTCTGTTTTTCCTCCATAAATTCATGCAACTGTTTCAGGGGTCCCTTGAAGTTTTGAGTTATATTCAGGACATTCTTCGTGTGCTTCGCCCGCTTGTATCCCTTCACCATCTCTCCAATGTGGAAAAATAGCAATATTAGTAAGAGCACGAGACACTGGCAGTTGCGAATTCAAAATCAAATACCTTGTTCAGGCAGAAAGCGTCTTATGTTGCCCGCTGTGGAGGTTGAGGCGCTGGCAGCGGTTGAGGGTTTATCTTTCCTTTCCTGCATTGATAAATCCACTTCCAATGAGCCTGCTGCTTTTAATTTACCCTCAAATATTGCTAAATTGTCGAATTTAGGCACTGTGGAATCTATATAAGGTATCTTTTCCGCGTATAAGGCAAATATTGGGTCGAAATGTTCGCTTTCAGGATCGGTTTTCCGAGTAATTTCATCCTCGTCATTTCCGCCATTTCTTGCATCTTCAGATTCACTCATTTTTATCACAATATTATACACATCTACCACACTAGAAGAACTAAAAATGTATCTAGTTTGTAAGCAGAATACAATTAAACTATTGAATAAGCACCATACGTAAGATCCACTAAAATGCGGACAAAACAAACCGCTGTCAAAATAATCAACATCTCAGGGAAGCATTTCAATTGTATTTTCATTCCTCATAATAAGCATGTCAAATGTAAAATTCAATTTAACGTCTTCTTTCAACTTTGCAGTTTACCACCGACAAATGATCCACAGAGTTAACAAAAATGCCAACAACGCTCCAGAAAATCGTGAAGAGTTCTTCGATACGTAACAAATTCCTGGATAAATTTCTCAAGCATAGGAAAATAATAAGAAAGATGTGAAACATCAGTGCCTTGGAAAGATAATAACTATATTTCCCGTAGTGATTTGTTAAGTGTCTCTAAATTTTTATATAAGAACTGTGATTCTCAGAGAATATTTTCTAAAAGTCGTAAAAACTTTTTTCTAGACGTGTTCAGTGTATCGTAAGCCGTTCAACGGAATTCCAAAGTGCTATAAATGTGTTTTCCCAGGAAACAACACTGCCAGCCAATGCATCAACCATCTGAGGAACTTACAAAGTGTTGCCGTTCAACAGCATTCACGGTGTTTTGAAAGTAACGATCAAAGACTGATTTACCGCCTTGACTTTATTGTGAACATTTTGTTAGGAAGAGCAAAAGGACAGAGTGTTAGAGAGCAAAGTTTTTGACTAGTTAGAGAGCGGTAGGTGTTTAGTTTAGTTGATAATGCCCATCCAAGTGATATGGATGAAGTTGTGACTGAACAGATGTATCGAAATCACTTCACAGCTGTATTGAAACGCTACAGGGACGAGAGAATAGAGGGCAGTGCTGCTGTGGCAATGCCATTTATCGAAGACGAGCTCCTCTGGTGTCCGGATAACGATGGGAGAATGGTGGATATCTCAGCTTGTCTTCAGGTGAGAATTTGAACGGTTTATCGCTGTCTTTGCTAGATTCTAAATTAATTTAATAATCAGATTTTGAATCAGAAGCAAGTTAAACAAACTTATCAAGAATGGGTTATAAATAAGCATTGCTTCACGTGAGCCAAGGATAACTTCTTCATTCATAAAGTTAGCGTTAATTAGGGCACAACTTGCCAACAGTTAAGAAATACTATTCGGGATCTTTTACCGGATTTCTCACTAATCGCTGGGGAAAGATTGGCATAATCTGGGAAATATTTGCGCGTATTTTTGAGGAATTTCTCATGTGCTCTCCTGGTGTTCCAGGACGCCGTAACGGCAAATACTACGAATCAGAACCAGGAAGTTGCAGGCGGTTCGTGCGATTTGAGCTCACTGGATCCCTTGTGCAATGATTCCGACGAGATTCTGCGGCAATTGGCGGAGAATCCTTTCGAGTTAGACTCCTTCTTCTCCGATTTCTCAGCCGTGGAAGTGAAAGTAAGTCGTAATAACGTTTCTGTCTCTTCTCTGCGATTGCTAATCTCGCTCTTTATCCGCTCCCGAAGCAGGAGGAGAACAACAATGACCTGTCCGTGGACCCGAACGACAGTCCAACGTACTTGACTAATTGCCAAAGCGCCTCGGCGCCCACGTCGCTGCCGCTGCAGGCCGTCAGCACGTCGCAGAGCAGCACGTGCGCCGTGTCCCAAGCGGACTCGTCGCAGAGTCACGCGCAGCAGCAGCACCAGTCGATCCTGGCCCTCGCGAATGCGATCTCGGCGAGCTCCTTCGGATCGCACCAAGCGCAGAACGGACGCAACGGCGCGCCTATCAACAGATACTCCATCGCGGCCAATCCGCTCCTCGCGGAGAAACTCATGGCGCCAAACCTCAACGACCTGGACAGCAGCCTGGCCATCAGCAATCGGGCAGGACGACCGCCGGACGTTAAAGGTGAGTCGCTTTTCCCTGTTGAAAGTCTCCGTCTGACCGCCCGGAGAGTCAATCCCAATTTATCCTAGAAGATCTAGTTTAGTTTGGATCCAGACTTTGTAGAGGAATATAAATTTGGACATCTATTAGTCTAGGAATTCGTACTCCTTTATTCAGGTTCTACAATCAAACACACTTTAAGAAACTCAATCTCGCTTCGAATTCTCAAAATCCATACAATAATTCATCATATTTGCTTAATATTTCGAACTGAGCCTCAGTTAAATCTCGATTGCTGTAAAAATGTGAAATTTTAATGAAGAATTTGCCTCCTTGTACAATTCCTGGCTGTGTTTATGATTTGCTGGAAGTGATTTTGTCAGTCGCCCTCCCGCGAGATTTGCATGATTGCTCAGGAAGCTGAGGAGCGGCGGTGGGAAGAAATTACGGATAAAATGTGGTAAATTGTCACACAAAGTGGAGTGAAAAGCGAACGACCCAAAAAGACACTCCATATTCACGAGCACGATTTGCGAGCCATGTTCATTTCTTATGGTTCATTGTTCCTCCCCGCGTGGAAAATGATGGGAAATTGCATTTGCGAGCGGAGCCATTCCTCAATGGGACGTGATTTTGCGGGGTAATTGTTCCTCCGCTGATCGTGTCGATGGCAGAAAATTACAAGTCGCGCTGGAAGTGTGTAAAGGAAAAGCCTGGGGAAGAAAATTCATGCTGACCTCATCGTCCGTCCAAAGGCGACAAATCGGGCGCGCGCGCGCGCCAAGTGAGAGACTCAATGACACGATCTGATTTCCTTTACGCGCAAGAAAGAACGACGGCGAGAGTGTTTTAATTGGTGACTCGCGGATCGTACAATTAGCGATCGAATGCACGGGGTCAAGGGGAGTCTCTCGCGCCCCGCGGCCCCCAGCCTCCGCCGCGAGTCTCTAATGGAGCCGCGAGAAGTGCTGCATTTTGCCAGTCCGACCCACAAATGCAGGCGATTGTCGGTGATTCAAACTCAAGTCGAGAGCGCTTGAGAGGCTCATCAACGCTGGGCTTTGAGTTTTACTCACTCTTCCTATGCCAAATGTAGTGATACGAACTTCTAATATTCTGATTAAAAAATGATTAAAATCTTATGTCTATTGTCTTGTTCACATTCTTATGTGTGGTCTGATAAATGCGCAGACTCTCCAACGTATACAGTTTTTCATCTTTTATTTGCCGCTACAGCAATTTATCCAGTAGAATATTAATTTTATCAGAGAGTCTCTCAGAAAACCCTATTTTATGGTCACAATTAAGTAAAAAAAAATGAGCAGAAAATGCGAAAAAGTAATAACTTGATCTTTAAATATTTATCAAGTTCCCAAAGACTCAATCCCGTAAACCCCTCGAGATTTGTACAACTTTTCGCTTTAATATGCGTCACTTAGCAGAATTCTCAGGTATTCTAAAACTGGAAAATAAATAAGATCATTCCTTGGTAATCACTTCAATCGACGTACAATTTAACGATGATCCTCTCAGATGTGAAAGACACGAAAAGTGGAGCGTTTGTGTGCATCTGAGAAAATATCGAGCATCAATTAAATTTTGACACTGCCGTCATATAATTAATGACGTCAATTGGTGGATGCATTTCTCCTCCTTTGCTCAATTAGTATGGTAAATAAGACGATTTCCGCTGCGCTGCAGCAGGGAGAGAGAGAGAGAGAGAGGGATCTGAGACTTTTTACTTACCCAAACACTGCGCACGAGAGAGCGGATTAGGCGTGCCGGGAAGGCGCGATCGCTGGGGTAGAAAAGAGCGCGTAAATTGTTGGGTTTCGCGCCCACGCTCTGTGGGAATGTCAAAAATCATTGGACAATTATGGCAAATTATCCGCCGTGCGATACATTACGCACATTGCATAGCCGGTGTTTACATTCATCAGCATAAATTATTTTTATTAATTTTCCATTAAATCATTTGACTGGGTCATGGTTAGCCGCTCAGCACACTCCATGCCTTTGCGGTGTGTCTCCGAAAATGGCTCCCCTCGGCCTGTCTGCACACTGGTCCCCACTTTGCGGGGATCACTTTTGATCGCGCGTCGCACGATCGAGCCGCAATTTAGCGCAAATTGATCGATTCATCGAAAAGTACAGGTGTCGATCGTGTGCACTCGAGAAATGAGATCGAGAGTGTGAGAGGTGAGCGACAAGGGGAAGTTGTTGACTAAAATATGTACACCACTTCCTGTCACTTGCGCAATTTGTATGACGAATTTCGAACACTTGAAACAAATTCCAAGCGTCTGCTTTACATTTCTTCCAAACACATATTGACGAGAAGTTGGAATATTTCTTTTATTAAGTAGAAAATTTGATTTTCAATATAATTTATTCACTAAGTTTTTTCTTAAATTCATCAAGAACAGCAAGGATTGATTTCTATGAACGAAATTATGTAAAATTCTGCAGATGTACACCAATTCCGACTGTAATATCTTCCCCTCGGTGTGAGATATTGGAATGGGAGACGGAATCATAGAAGTGGGATCTGTCTGAATTGAGAATAAATTGATTGCGATCACGAGAACTGCACGAAAATTCTGTAATTCTCACTCAAACGCGCCAAGGTCCGAATTTTTTTTTTATTAAAAACTTCAATCAATCATGCAATTTCTGATCTATCGCTTTGAAGTGTAAGCAATCAGCGCGGATGCGGGAAGATCTTGCACGGGAAGATGCATTGTAGGAGTTAATGATATTTGCATGAGAATCCCAGAATTGAGCAAGCGCGAGCGCGAGAGAGAGAGTCGTCTAATCTGCATTTCTGAGTGTAGGTATTTTTATGTGCAATTACAAACAGATTCGCACCAATTTTCCTCCAACTGTGAAGGTTATGTCAGTTGAGTTCGTTGTTCTCAAAAAAACGAAAGTGTTCCGTTCTCGTTTCTCTCCGCGCGCGCAGTCTCACAACTGTATGAAGAAGCCGAGATGTGTATAGTTTGAATGGAAGAGGAAAAAAGGCACACAGAATGGCAAGATATGTGGTACAAACACGAGGGGTGAGACGGTGTGTGGACTTCTTAAATAAGAGTACGATCATGGCGCGACGATCCAAAAATTACAAACCTGTTCCACAATTTTGCTCATAAATGTCACCAATTAGTTGGTTGTTGTTTCTCATGTGTATGACTATAATGGCTTATTTTTTTTCTTCATAAATGTGTGCTAAAATTATTTATCTGCACTACAAGCCAGAATACACCGATGCGGGGAGAGTGGGACACTACAAACTACACTTGCGTAGATGTCAATAACAATTGCACAATTTGCGCGCGATCATATTCAGCCATGACACAAACCCGGTGTATGACTGATCGCTTAAGTGGATTTTATTATTCAGCGCGATCTCTTGCACGTGACGCATTTATTTATTTTTCACACTCGGAATCGCGAGAGCGAAATGCAGAAATTATATCGTTAGGTGTGCAAAATTGAGTGGACGCGATGATGCGGAGGAAAAAGGCAGTAAATTGTGCTCTGGAGTGATCGTTAAATTCTCGCGGATGCCGATCACTTTGCATTGCGCGCGCTGTTCATCTATGGGAAATTCAAATTGGGTTCGCAGCGAATGATCACCCGATAGTGATCACAGAGAGTGTTGGGAGCACGTTCACATTAAATACGCCTCTGAATAAATCACTGAAATGTGTGTGCTTCTAGTTTTTCTCTTCGCCCCACCATGTTTTTCCCAATAAAATGATACTTTTGTAAAGCAGTTTCACTCGCGATCAATCTCTTTTTTTTCCCTCTAATCCGCTGTGCAGCAACTTTTTAGCGTCCCTCTTTTCTCGCTCTGTGTCTCATAATAATGTTTATTTCTCAATGAAAGAAAAATCCCCATTTTTGGCCTCATGTTTTTCATCTCTCGAGCGTCAGATCTCAACTGTATCAAGGTGAGATCGCGACTGATCCTCAACTTTTCAAACTCACGATCACACGCTTTTCTAACCCGTTTTCATAGATCACTATGCATGATTGAGATTAGAGACTTATAATATACAGTATTTTTTTTTCTTCGACACATCGATTTGCGTGACGATCACTTTTCAATATTCGCAAGATCACCATGAAGTAATTAATGATGATATTTCAGACTCAGTGTGAGAGGAAGTGTAGATGGCTTAGGAATGGAGATTGAAAGTTGCTGCAAATGTACATTTTGTCAATGACGAAATTTTATGCTTCGGCCGCGCTTCAGCCCAATAACCTAACAGTTTGCCGGTCATCGGCAGCGTCAATAACGGACAATGTCACTGCGGCTGAAGTGGCGGAAAAGGATTAGGAAATCGCAGAAAGAGCGCCATTGCGAGTGCCTGGCGGTAATTAGTGGTTGATTAAGGCGGAAAAAGAAGCATATTCTGCAACATCCGTCCACCTTATTCCGCATATTTTGCCCACACGGCGTGCGGAGTTTCATTGGGAGACTTTTTCGGATAAAACTTCCATTCGGTGTGCGCGCGCTTCGTGTTGAATTACGCAATGATGAAGAGCAAAGTGAATTCTGCAATACCGGAACGTGACGCGATAATTTAGGTCAAATACATTGAAGACTTTATGCCTTGGCGTTTTTCGTCTCTCTCTCTCTCTCTCTCACTCTCGAGTCTCTTCTCATCTCGCCGCAGCCTCTGGAAAAATGATCCAGAGGACCAAAGAGATCGGATCTCTGTCCAGGAAAGAACAACTCGCGCCTGGCGATTTCAATGCTCAATGACTAATGCGAACAGCGCACGATGGAAAAGTGAATGCCCTCGATGATGTCCACGGACAAAAAAGTTGTTGCTTTTTTGTAGCATTTGAACTACAAGTGGGAAACATTGAAAACATAGTCTCACACACATGCGCGCCAGCCAGTATTAAAGTGAAAAACGGAACAATCTTCTTAATTGGGTAACTTGGTCATTTGCAGTTCGAGGACCCAGCGAGTGAAGAGAGTGTCTCAAAATGCGCGTAAAATTAAATTG